TATGTGCTGTATATGTAATATGGATCATGATTTAACCTATTCATGTTAGCAGGGCAGAATTGTGAGCGCCTCCCACAAGCTGAGCACCGAGATGCGATGCAGCGATCCTGCCCAGTGCCGACTACGAGAGGCACCGCGTGAGGCAACAGGGATCGGAGTGAAACTGTGAGTAAGGGAAGCTGGGACGGGGCTGGCTGTAAATCTATTGCTATAGTGTACTGGACGTGTGTAATGTATATGTAGTACATATATACAGCACACACCTCTACTACACTCCAGCAATAGAGTTACAATTCTCCGCTGCGAACATGAATAGGTTAAACCATGATCCATAGTACATAACATGTAGTTGTACTATGGATCATTTAAAGTCACCTGTCCCTTTAAGAAAAAGTATCAGTAATTGGTATCGGCAAGTACATGAGGGGATGTACTTGTACTTGGGCCTGAAAAAGTGGCATCGGGACATCCCTAACTTCAACACTGTGAGCAACCCCCTTCCCTAGTATATAGAATAGATGAGTAAACAACCTATCAGATTTTACTGAGATAACTAGGCATATTACCCAGTTATCTCTGAACTGCCTGTACAACCAAAATCTTGTCACAGAGCACAGAAAATTCAGGAACAGCCGATAAGTAGAGAGTGAGCAAGGGTGCTCTCTTCCCCTAGCCTAGAATAAGACATGATGTAACTGCTAAGCGCATTGGCAATGTGCAGGCTCAGGGTAGGAGGCAAGCTCTCAAGTACCCACAAAACCCTGACAGGTGCTAGCAGGTAAGGTTCAATGACTGGAATAAACATATAGCCGGAGGTGATCAGAGTCACTGTAGGCAGGTTCCAGAAATGGATTAAAGTTCCACGTGGCTCTTTGCAACAGGAGCAGCAGCGGGGAAATGCTTGAGGCCGTATGGCAGGCAAGAGAGTGTGGAGCATAATTGGTCTACTAAAGGAGTATTCAGAGACTGGGAAAATAACTGGGGCAATGCAAACGGGTCTGCACATGGAAAGCACTCTTGCAGGTAACTTTTACGAAAACAGAGCCTGGAAAGCTCCCCACGAGGAACCTGGGGCCCAAAGGTCACTTCCAGCCAAGCCCCACCAATTCCCAATTTAGAAGGGTGAGGATACAGTACTTCAAGGGGCAACCTCCAGCATCGGATGTAGTCAAGTCTTAATTGGAGAAAGTGAATGGGAAAAAAAAAAATTGCTAGAAAAGAAAAATCATAGGTTAGTCTTTACAACAGCAGAACTAAAGAAGAGACATCCACCTTTCTAGAACACTAACAAAAAAACTAGGGCCAAACTGGTAGTAAAAGGGGTTATACCCTGGGCTATCCTAGTTTTTTTTGTGTGCCAGTCTCCAATCTTTCCGTTATCCCTCAAAGGATGCAAAACAAATACTTTTTAGAGCCGTACAACCAAACAGAGAATATTCATAATGAAGAAAATACATGCAAATATCTCAACTCAAAGTCAACACCTTTTGTGCTTGCAAAGTAGCTTCCCTTTGTTGCCATCGTTTATAAAGGCCGAAGAGAGGAGTAGCTCCATCCACCCACTGAATCAGTCCAGATCGTGTGCCAAGGGGTGTGACTGAATAGTGTCTTGCACGAAAATGGGGAGACTCTTGACCATTAATCGTTGCAAACATAGTATTTACAATAGAGAGGAACTGCATTATGCGCTCATCAAGATGCAAGTCTTCCAAACCTGTTAGAAAACAGAATGTTGATCATGAACATAATAAATCAATAGAACACTATAGCTTAAAAAGCATGAGTGTATAATACCACTCCATTACCTTTAAAAAGATATGGGTAGTTTTTGCCATCAGATCCCAGAAAGATGAACTTCTTTGGTTTAGTTTTTGTAGGTAAGATGGTGATCGTGCTGCCCACACTGTGAATTGTGATGGTGTCTCTGTCTGACACTTCCCCTGGTAAGGCTATCTCAGTGCTGGTCATAGAAGCCAAGCAGGGGCTAATTTCTTCAAGGCTTAACAAGTAGCTTGCACGTTTCTGTGCTCTTTGCTGCAAGCTTAGCATAACCTGCAAAGCAACAGAGTAATCTGTCAGTGTGAAATTTCAATAACAGAGAAGTCATATACAGAGTATAATAGTAGAATAATGTGCAACATGGCACATTCACATCTGTTTTTAATTGGTAGAAAAGGCCACAGCATGAGAAAAAAAAATGATCACCTGCAGTGATCACCTAGCACTGCAAAAGAGAGAAGTTAAGGGGTGGATAGAGCAAAAAGGCTTCAGTGGGGTTGGATAAACATATCTACTGGTTTATTGAACTTCAGCTTCAAAAGTATAAAAAAAGAGCAATTCTACTATATGCAGCATCTGGAATTGGACCCTGAACAGGCTTTCATCACTTTTAAGAGGAACCATACTAAAGCCAACTGGGAAATTCTTGACCAAATGTGCAAGAATGTGTTAGAATTACAACCCCAGAAAAGTTGGGACACTAAAATCTAAAAAACCCAAAATGCAAGCATTTTTCAAATCTCATAAACCCGTATATTATTCACAATAGAAAACATTAAATGTTTGAACTGAGAAAATGTACTATTTTAAGAAAATAAAAAAAGAAAAAGGTAATTTTGAAATTGATGGTAGCAACGTGTCTCAAAAGAGCTGGGGCAGGGTCATGTTTACCACAGTGTAGCATCCCCTCTTCTTTTAAAAACACTCTGTAAACGTCTGGGAACTGAGACCAGCTGCTGGAGTTTTGGGAGAGGAATGTGGTCCCATTCTTGCCTAATATTGGATTCTAACTGCTCAACAGTCCTGGGTCTCCTTTGTCGTATTTTTCATTTTAAGATGAGGCAACTATTTTAACTGGTGAAAGGTCTGGACTGCAGACAGGCCAGTTAAGCACACAGACTCTTCTATGAAGCCATGCTGTTGTCATAGATGCAGTATGGGGTTTAGCATTGTCCTGCTGAAATATACAAAGCATTCCCTGAAAAAGTCAGTCTTGATGGGAGCATATGTTGCTCTAAAACCTGGATATATATCTTCCAGCAGTGATGGTGCCTTTCCAGATGTGCAGCTGCCCATTCCATATGCACTAATGTACCCCCATACCATCAGAGATGCAGGCTTTAGAAGTGAGCGCTGATAACAAGCTGGAAGGTACCTCTCCTCTTTAGTCTAGAGGACACAGCGCCAATGGTTGCAAAAAGAATGTCAAATTTAGATTTTTCTGACCACAACAGTTTTCCACTTTGCAACGACCACTTTAACCCCTTCGTGACCAAGGCCTTCCCCCCCCCCCATTTTTTGCACCCATGTTACAATCCACATTTTAGGCCTGAAAATTTCTTCAAATCCCCAAACATTATATATTGTCTGAAAGTCAAGACCCTATAGAATAAAATGGTGGCAGTTGCAAAAAGAAACTTGTAAAGCCGATAGTCAGCTTTACAAGTTTAAACAGCGTCCCAAGCTCCCTTTAAACAAGTATGTCATATTGCAGCAGACTGGCTGACTACCAGTGATATGTTTGTTAAGATTCTTAATTTACAGGATGCAATACCAGAGTCACATTCTAAAATCATAGTTTATAGACCTGGTTTATACTATACGTTTTCAAATACCTGCTTAAAGGGCAGCCAGCTGTTTCCAGGATTAGCCGGATTGGATGGATTTCGAAGCTTTTCTAGAGCATTTTCAATGGCCTCCCCATAGGTGTCCTGGAACCACTTTTCATGAGGTGTTTCAGCAGGTGTTGAAGTAATACTACAAACGTGCTCAAGGGCAAATACAATAGGTTTCATGAGTGCGGTGTGCTTTTCACGCATGATGGCAATCTTCTCCTCCCTACAGAAAAACCACAAAAGTCCATAATGAACGATTCAGTATATTCAGGGAGAATGCCAAAAGCACATGAATCAGAAATAAGACACGTTTAGAAACAAAATGTTATAGTAACATATAGAGGTAAAAGTATACATACACTAAAACACTCCCTTTTATTTTTTTACCTCATTAACAAAATATATGATCTAATATACATTTCAAAAACATCATCAGCTAGCCAAATATGCCTAGGCGTGGATTTTGCACTGCTGTAATTAGTCACCTTTGTCACCACAGGCACTGTGTGAGCCTTTCCAAGGCTGGACACTTACAAGTTGCTCCTTTCTTAAATAAAACATTTTTACCCATGTAAAGTAGAAATTCTTCCTAGGAGCAGACTTCACAAGGTGTCAATTACTGCTTTTACCTATAACACATTGGGGGCACAGAAGACCACTGCCCACTGGGATATTACCCTGCACAGAAATTTGAGATTAATCTTGGTGTCCTCTGAGATAGGAAGTTGCATGTGGGGCACCTTGAAACTATTCTAACCATACATCATAGGGATGGACCGATACTAGTATCGGTGCCGGTTCCTGACTAATCAGGAAGCCGGACGGCACCTTATGACTCACTGTCCGGGTTCCTGATTAGTCAAAGGCAATCAGGAAGCCGGGTGACGGGTCTGGATCCGCCGCCCGACTTCCTGATAATCTGGGCACACAGCACCAGTACTCGGTATCGGCGAGTACTGAAAAAAGTATTGGTATTTGTACTGAAAAACCATTATTGGTGCATACCTAATACATTATCTAAAAGCAGTAATCTCAAAGTACCGGCCCGCAAGCCGGTACTATGTGGCCCGCAGCCAGCTCACAAGTCTGGTACGCGGTCACGGACCGCGTGCCAGACTTGCGGGGGCAGCTACACTGTGTATCTGTTGGATGCAGACCGCATAGCTGCTTCTGTCGGCGGCTCTGATAAAATTATATATAAAAATCTAGATCTATAAATCTATATATAGATATATATAGATATCTATATATAGATATATGTGTGTGGGGTATTTTTTTTGTGTGTATGGGGGGTGGCGTAGAAGTGTACTAGGCTCCATTCACACCTGAATCCTTTGGTTGCAAATAGGGTTTTTCTGCATCAGGAACATGCGTTTCCTGCAGTAGGAATCCCTAATCTGGCGTTTAAAAGCAGCAGCTGTCACCTATTCAAGTTAATGATCAGGTGACAGCAGTTGCTTGTAAACGCCTGCACACCGCATGTAATGATACGCGATATGATTGCATTCGGTTAGGAATCAATCACTCCCCCTGGACGCAATGATTGTGCATCCAGGGAGAGTGTTTTCTAAACCCATGTAATATCACAATTACATGCGGTGTGCAGGTGTTTACATGCAACTTCTGTCACCTGATCATTAACTTGAATAGGTGACAGCTGTCACTTGTAAACACCAGATTAGGCATTCCTGCTGCAGGAAAACGCACCTAAAACATACAGATATGAATGGGGCCTTATTGTGTGTATATTGTAGGAATGCACTGATACCGGTATTTCGGTATCGAGTACCGATATTTTTTTTTCAGTACTCGCCGATACCGAGTACCGGAAGTCCCATTCAGGGAGCGTGTAATGACTCGCCACCTGGCTTACTGATTAGTCGGGTAGCATGTCAATTCTCGCCACCCAGCTTCCCAATTAGCAGGGAAGCCGTCCCCATGCTTCTCGTGACTAAAAGCATGGAGCGGGCTTTCTGGCCAATCAGGAAGCCGGGCATCGCATCATTACACGGTGCCCGGCTTCCTGATTGGCCAGCTTCTCGTCACTAATGAAGAGGGAGCACGAGTACGAGTACTCGCCCAAATACTCGGCATCGGCACTGATATCAATACTAGTATCGGTGCATCCCTAGTATATTGGGGTCCGTAGTACCAAACCGGATATAGTTACATTTTATTTTAAAAAGGTATGAAATTTGGCAAGCGGCCCCCATGGGAGATAAAAATGTGTCTAGTGACCCCCGAGTGAATTGAGTTTGAGACCCCTGATCTAAAAAAGGGACCATGCACTATCTCTCCTAAGGATGTTTTTTACATGTAGTTGATTTGGTATTTACTAACCCAAAATTAGTATATTTCAGCTCTTGCTTTGGTCCAAGCAATACTGTTACACAAAAGTAGAACAATCTCAAAAAAAATAAAAGGAAGATAGTCTTTGCAGATTCCATAAACCTTTGGAATCAGTACTGCCTATAGCAAGAAGATGGGATTAATGCCCAACAGTTTGTCCTAAAAAATGAACTGCTTGTGCAAAGAAATAAATCAGACAGTACTCAAACAAGTTGGTGAAAGTGGTTGCAAGTGACCCAATACAGATACAACCACCTTAGAATTACAACTTTAAAGTAAATATAAGTAAACATAAGAGCAACTACATACTTTCTCAGAGTATTGTTGTTCTGCACCCTTTTGACTTCATCCTCGAGCTGCTGAATGCGTCGTAGAACATACATGTGTTGCTGTAGCAAGACACCCAGCCAGAGCTCATCCCAAAGCACAGTAACTCTTCTTAGTTCCGCTACCAACATCTGAACCTGTAGAAGTGTGGAAAATTACCAAGCAAAGCCAACTATATTGTATCTACCAATATAAATAATGATAGATTGATATACCTACTGTAAAAGCTGATTAAGAACAGTTTTTATACAAACCTGCAGAACCATGGTAGGGTTGGCACACGACAGCTTGTCAACAATTTTACTGTAACAATCTTGCATCATTGCTTGGTCTTCATTCAGAATATTTTTTAATTCCTCTCTATTACTTTCTTGTGAAGCTGGTGGACTTCCATCACCACATTCCCCACCCATAAGCTCATCATCCTGGATGTTAGCCAGTAAAGTGGGAATGGCTGATGACAACTTGGTTCCTGTGACAAAACAAAACAGTGAAGATAAGCAGAGAAAAACAAAGCACTCAAGTCCCACTATTGTGGTACTGTTTGCTTCAGAAATACAAATCTCCATAGCTTGCTCAAACGGGTACATTAAAATGAGAACTATGAGGTGAGTGATTTCCACTCACCTCATAGTTCTAGCCGACCTGTGACAATGAGACTGTCGCAGGTCGGCTCAGTAGATCGGGAGGTGAGCGAACAGATACTGGCGTTCACTCACCTCTCTATCCTGTCTCGGCTCTCTGCCGTGAGAGGGGAGGGGTTGGATTCCACCGTCCCCGCACCGCCAGCAGACAGATTCCTCCATCCACAATAAACCATGTGGATGGATGAATCGCTTGCTGGGCTACTGTATTCTGACAGCCGAGGGTATGCCGTTGTCAGAATACCCAAAGAGTGTTGGCAACCAAAATCAAGTAATTGAGAAAAGAAATGGAATGGCCAGTGAGCAGATTTAAAGGTTTAATAAGAAAAGTGCACTATTTAAAAGTCCACCTTTTAAAAATAAATGCACATTTTCGAAAAAGAAGAAAATATGTGCATTTGCTATTTTGTGCATTGGAGCCAGTAAAAATGCAACTGCAATCAGTAGACCATATCAATGGGAATATGGGTGTAACATAAAACATGGTCTTAAATGTAAACTTGGCCTCTAAGGTCACAATAGTTATTTCAATTAATAAAATTTCTCTAGTCACCTTCCAGGACAGCATTAGAGAGATAGGCTCCTCCCACCGGAACAGGAAACACATCACCCACACTTAGAATAAAAAGGAGCACAAGCCTAGCACGCCTCAGTTATTTTGTGTTTCCTCCGGCCGAGCAGGACATCGTAATGTTTGTTGTTTTCCTTAGGCCTTCGTGCTGGTGAGCAGGGGCTTCCCCCCGACAGGGGTACAGCAGAGGGTCAGTGGACCCGGGGTACCCAGGAAGGGGGGCTTCCTGGACAGCCCCAACTGTCCGAAAGAAAATGCCTGTGGTTTACCTGCACAAGCGTGTGCAGGGCAACTTGACCTGTTGGTGTAGTGGACTCAGGGGAGTTCCCCCGGGCGAAAAACCTCTGCTTCAAAATGGTGTGCTTTTTCTTACCTGCAACGGTGGGGTCTTTCGGGGATCCTGGCTCCGGAAAAAGCCGTCAGTACAAGAAACAAGCAGAGTTTCTCTTCCCAACTACATTGAACAGCAGCATACATTTTACTACTAAAACAGAGGTGTGCTGCATGAATACTGACCTGAAGACTGGGATTCATTACTCAGCGAGATACTTCCCACAATTGCTGGGTAGAGGATGAGGTGCGGAGAGTCATGTGCTACTCGACACAGTAGACTGCAAATACTTTGACGAACATATACCTCAGGATGGTTGAGACGTGAAAAAAGCTGAGGTATAATACCTACAAAAATCACAATACATCAACATTTGCAGACAGAACTAAATCTACAATTTAACTATTTACCTTATCTAAGAGAGTAACTTGCTAATGTAAGAGTGGAACAAACACTACAACTATCATATTAAAGCAAAGCAGCACCAGAACAGACCATTTAGCTTACATAAGTTGCTGGGCCTTTTCTGAAAATATCACACATCTTATTAAGGACAAGGATCACCTGAGCAAATGTTACAATTGTTATTGAATAATTCTACCTATATTACCAGTCTTTATTACCTGTCTACTACCATGTGTCTTCAGTCTGCCCCATTACTACTCTCTCCAGTTCCAACTGTGTTTTTTGGAACTGTTCCCTGAAACTAATCCACTGGGCCTGCTAGCCAGTGTGAATGTAACTAGTGAACAGCTGCTGAAAAATGTCTTGATTCTATTCACTTCAACATGGTGTTTTTTGGGTGTGTTTTTTTTGAGACCGTAAAAGTAAATATAAAAAGTTAAATACATTCACACATGGAGAGAGCATGTCTACTGCAACTTTCCTCTACAAACCACAAGGACCGAAAAGCATCCTTTATTGATGTTAATCCTACCCTACAATGTAGTGTGAATGAAAGGTTGAAAAAAACTGATGTAAATAGCACTGGAAACTAAACTTAAACAGGTACCTCTCCAGGGACCAGTGGGTGTAGTCTCCAGCCCCTGCTCCAAGTACTGTCTAAGTTCTCCAGCATGTTTAACTAGCAGTCTTAAAAGTCGCAGAGTTGCCATGACTATTGCATCGTCTGTGCTTTGCTTGGAAGAAGTATTTAACTGCAGGCGAGGGTCATCTTCATCCATAGAAACCTAGGAGGTTTAAATAAAAGACACACTTAAGACAAAAATGTTTCTAATACTTCAGTGTCTAAATCTAGGCTGTAAAACACCACTCTAATAAGCTAAACAATACAAGACACATACCCTTCCAGCATTTAGCTTTAAGAATGTGAAATATGCACTGCAGGATAATTTATACAGACTGAAAATCCGGTCCACAACTTTCCGCCAAAGTTTGATGAGACCCTCGGAGGCTGCTTCATCCAGTTCTGCCAACCAAGGGCAGCTGGTCAATAGCTGCCTCCAAATGACATCTACAGTATCGTTTTCATTGTTCCCCTCACTCTCTGTAATCTGAAGTGACAGGTCTTCATCCTAAAGACAAACACACATAAAAAAAAAAGATGTAATTCAAGGAATATTTAAAGATTTTAAACTAACAGAATGTCCAAGGCATAACAGAGGGCAAGGAAAAATAGTATTTTTGTACTTTTTTTTGTAACATCCTTTTGTTAGAGTCCACTGAGGGACATAGAAAGTCTTTCACCTTTGGGTTATAGAGCTGCCTACAAGAGGATTGGACATTGACAAAAAAAAAAAAAAACACAAAAGAAAAAACAGGCCAGTCCAAAATTACTTCAACTACAAGAATTTCTCAGTTTTGTAGGAAGCAGCACCAAGAGAATGATCATAAACAGGGATGGGGCCCGAGTCCCTAAATGGACTCCAAGAAAAAGATTTTAATGCAAGTTCAAAACCCTATTTTCTGTCTCATCTATTGAGGAACAAAACGTTTTTCACTTTTGGGACATCCAAAAGAAGTTTAACTAAGGGGTGGGTAACACAGCAAAACAAAAACTAAGAGGCTCAAGAAAACAACAGAACTGGCAGCAAAAGGGTTAAAAGACCCAAGACTGGACACAGCACTAGTAGAAGCAACAGGCTGGCTCCTCCAGTTGCAGAGTTGTGCATACTGCATCGATAAAAGCCCAAACAGCCTCTCTTAAAACGGACCTTTACCCATATTTTTTAAAATGAACACACCTTTAGAAATGTTCAGTAATGACAATCTACAAACACATACTTCTAGATAATTGTCGGCTTTGTATTCTTTGCATACCTTATTTCTCTTTTCTTACCCAGTCTTCTGACAGTGGCCATGTTTACTAAGGGCAGATTACTAGCTCTCCTTTTACTTCCTGGATATCTGGCACATGTGACTAGGACATGTGACCAGGACATGTGACCATGCACATCATCTCAGGGAAGCAAAATGCCTTTTCCTGAGATCTCATGAGATTACAGATGAGATTTCCCAGCAATGCTCTGCTGATGACAAGGCAATCCCAGTGTGCATTGCTTTGCCAAACTGAAGTCATTTTGCCCTTTGAAAGCAGGAAATAAATGCTCCGCAAGTGTATTTCAAAATCACAGCATTTTACACCTGACATGTCAATGTCATTATTAATCATCATATATGGGATGCATTGGTAGAACTTGATTTTCGAGTGTAAAGGTGTGCTTTAAGTAATAGCAGTACATTGAGACTTCTCAGGGGCAAGCTCATCAGTCTCTGCTGGCATTGGTTTAGAAGCCGCCAAGGCATGATTGTAATAAAAACCTCATCTGAATGGGTTGAGGAACCAGCCACACCTTAACAGAGCTAAAAAAAAAACAAAAAAAAAACCCCAATGATGGGATAGATTTTAGAAGTAAAGTGACAATAAAAAAAATTGCTGGGGAGATAGGGATTTCTTTTGTTTCCCTATGGCTCTATAATAAAAAAAAAAAAAAAGAAGGGGGCAGCTATCTTACTAAAAGAATCTTGAAGAAAAGGAATAAGGTAAGCTTCTCACAGAAGAGATTTATATTTTTCACACATTACTGTGTAGAGGTTAGGAAACAGATTTGGCATACTATTTTGTGTGACACTTTGGTTCACAGCACAATCATTTTATTTGTTAATAGAGAAAGATATTGAATGGTGAAGGAGAATGAGAACCTTCACCACTGGTAGACTAAAGCAGCTAAAACATTAACATATTGAGTTCAATTATTGTTTGTACCCCAGCAGTATCTTAAACTGTGATAAGCAGAGGTTGGTTATCAGAGTAAAAGGTCCAAAACCAAAAACACAAGATTTACATTTGCCATCACACAATACTTTGAATACTCTAACAAACCTGTATTCCAGCTGGCCGACACATTGCCTGGCCCAAGATTCCATATATTTTCTCCTTGTCCTCATCAGACACATTATCTGGCAGTAGGCTTTGCATTTCTGATTTCTCACACTGTAATAATTTTACACCTTCACCTTGACTGTAAGAAGAAAAAATTCTGTTACGTAATTTCCGTTACATAAAACCAGATTGATTAGATCAATACTTAAATAAAATGAGAAACCACTTGAAACACATTCAAATACACAAGTGAACTGTAGGGCTGAAACTCATCGATCTTGACGATAATCATTATCAACGATTTTTGTCGATTAGTTGATCTGCACTCAGATCAGTGGGGATAGGAGGGGACATAGACCCCTGCAGCCAGTGCCCAGTGGTGAGAAGAGCTCCCCACTGGTCTCTCCTTCCTACTGGGAGCCCGCTGCATTCTGTGTCCACTCCGATCCCCGCTGCTCTCCCCAGCCTGTATCGACAGGGACACCAGGGCTGACTGCTGTGTCTAAAACAGACCCCTGGCATTTCCTTTTTGAAATATAAAAATAAATTGAGGACACAGTCCTCAATCTCTTTTTTTCTGCAGCCTCAGCACTCAATGAATGGAAAGCACTCAGTACCCTCATTCATTCAGAAAGGGTTGATGGTAAAAGATTTACTATCAACCAGTTTCTGAATGGGGAGAAGCCGCTGTAGTGAGTGCTTCTCCCCATTAAATTTGGAACGGAATTCAGGAAAGGGGAGAAGAGAATGTGAGAATTTATTGATTGTCGTTAAATCGAAAGAGGGATTTGGTTTGCCATTGTCTATCAATGCTATTAGTGAGTGTGGGTGCCAGGAAAGAAGTATATAAGCAAGAACACATGGAAGATGGAGATAAAGACCGCTGCAGACAGCAACAGCGGGGAGAAGAGATCATCAGCTGTGACAGCCAGGGAGAGTCCTAATGCAGAGCGAGAAGGAAGTGGAGCAACTCAGGATGGAGAGCAGAGGATCGGTAAATATGTGAAATATTTACTGATCCTTCCCTGTGAAGAAAGAACACAAGAGTGAGCAGTCGTATTAGTAAAAAAAGAGAAAGCCAGTCACCAGGTAGATTGCCAGCTTTTTATACCAGGCAGTTTTTCTTAAAATCAGATCTGGCTCCATTAGCTGATCAGCCAAGTCTACATCCCCCATGTGCCTGTTGTAATTCCTTATGCAAACAGGCTTGGATTGTGCTCTTCCTCGGACAGTGACTTCTGACATTGTTTCATCATGGATGGTGGTGATCATATGAACATCTTTACTGTCCTTAAATGTTAACAACTCGGCTTTGCACTCTCCTTTACAAGATATCTGGGTAAAAAAAAAGATCTGGGAAAATCTTTGGAATTTTTTCCCAGGGCATCACAGGCCAGAGTCTCAAAACAATTCAGCATCTGAAAAAAATGGACACTGCTAAAAAAAAAAAAAAAAAATTGTCCAGATAAAAGGTAATAACCCTTAATGAAAAAGGGGGTTATTAAGCCCCATACAAAATTTCCCACTTGTCCCAAGGAAGTCAGGACAACCAGGAGGGTACAGGTGACAATGTTTCCCCTCATATAGCCGGAAGGCAAAGGTATGGCCACTTTCGCTCTTGCAAAGTTCATAAAACTTTATCCCATACCGGACGCACTTTAAGATTCAAACAATATATCCCCCTCAATCGTCCTTTGTACATGAGCGATTCATCTATTGAAATATTTTGTTTGGGGATATATAGCAAATGTTTTTTGCGGATGGTTACCAGGGGGCAGATTTTTATAAAGCCTGTCATACTGGGGATGATTCATTCTGACAGAGGCTTTAGTCACTGAAGTGGAAAAAACGCAGCAGCAACTCATATCTTGCTCTGGGCATGATTTGAGAGTATATTGGGGTAGAGCAAATAGGGTTGGTCCTCCAGAAAGCATGGATTGTAGGTTTTTTTTACAATCCTAATGAGCATAGTAAGAGCCCAGAATTTTTTCAGTTCAGGGACATCCATGCGATACAATCTATGATCTCTAGCTATCATGCTACTTGGATTGGCCTCAATTTGTCTGGGACATAATCTCCTCCCAAATAGTACCCCATAAAAATAAACCCATATATTGTATAGGGGAAGAGCCACTGACATCTACATGAATGCCTGTGTTGGCAGTAAAAGAGGGGATGTAAGGCTTCTCATTCTGTGGAGCTCCCTCTCCACATTAGGGGTAGCACAGCTTCTTTTAGCTGTCGGCTCACCAACAAATGACATCACTGGACGTGCAAGTAAACTGACCTGCGTCAAAATCCAACGCAATGTCAGTGCTGTTCGAGTCGGAGGCCAAGAAGGCATATGCCTGCTCCAAATTGTGTTGCATAATTTAGCAACACAATACTCATCTACCTAACCTACAGACCAAATTACTATTTTTATTTATTTATTTTTTCATAATGTCTTACCTATCTACCTACGCAACTAACGGACATACAGACTAAATTAGCAAAAAAGCACAAAGAGGGGAATTATCAAAACTGGAGCAGACAAAATCTGGAGCAGTTGCCCACGGCAACCAATCAGCATGCACCTTTTATTTTCAAACGTTAACTCAACTGTAGAGAGAAGCCGATTGGTTGCCGTAGGCAACTGCTCCAGATTCTTCTGGTCCGGTTTCAATAAATGTTTTGCTAATAATGGTCCGGGATCATCACCGTTCGCCAATATAATTTACTTTTGCAATGATGGTCCCAGGCCGTCATCGGTCCTGAAGGAGTTAAACAAAATAGGTGTACCAGTGCTCAACTTAGGCTCTATGTGGAGACGACCATATGACATGTGCCCAGGAGATGCTTTCTCATAAAGCAAATGTACGTACAGCCAGCTTAAGTAGGGTATACACAGTTAGAATCTAGAACAAATGAAATTGATTTGAGAGTTTGTTCGACTTTAAATAGTTAATGCAGTGAAATCGGTCGATTTCAATCACATTGATGAAAAATTTGAAAGAGTATGTTGGAAAATGTGTGAAAGTTTCAATCTCGCATGGAGCTCCAGACTGAGGGCGATTGATGTTTATTTTGTATTCCTTCCATTTGTGAATTATCGTTCCAACAGTCGCTTCCTTCTCACCAAGCGGCTTCGTCCATTCCAGCCTTGGGCAGGTCTACAATCTTATTCCTTTGACAGCTCTTTGGTGGCGGTGAGGTTTGAATGGAAGAAAGATTCTGTGGACAGGTGTCCTTTATATACATACCGAGTTGTCGTTAGGAGCACCAAAAAATGGGAGAAGTTGCCAGCATCTGGAGCCTTTCATCCCTGCCTGGCGCCGCTCCAGGCTCCAGCAGGGGGAGCGCGGGGGAGCAAGCGCCGGCTGGCAGGGAGAAGCTGCAAGCTTCAGGATGGCCGAGCGGTGAGGAGATCGGAGCCGCTGTCATCCTGTCAGTTTCCGGATGACAGCGGCTGTGGGTGGCCGAACGGAGGATCGATAAATATCATTGGTATTTGCCGATCCTCTGTGCAGCACAAACACCGGAGTGATCGTCTGATCACTCCAGTGTTTGTAAATAACTGGGGACACATAGGGGGTTATTTGCAAAGCTGCCGAAGGCAGCCATGTGATTAACCAGCCCGAAGAGAAGTGACCTGAACGCTGTTCGGCTATTCACTTCAGGCTTGTACAGCTGATTTCAGCCGTACATCGGCTTGCTGCGGCTGGGTTCGGGTGGGCTGAACATGCCAAAGAGAGGAGCCTACTGCTGGAATAATGCAACTCCATCACACCTTTGGGAGTTGCATAATCATTGACCAGCCTACCGCTGAAGGAGAAAATGTACGCAATTATCGCACGGCCTACAAATTTAGTATCACCATCTTTTTATTCTACCGGGCCTGCGCTTTCAGAAAATATATGGTTTGTGGGGTCTTTTACAAACGCTAGCAACGCAACAGTTATCAAATCAATGGGAAAAATTCCAAAAATGGTGTGGCCAGCTGAATTGAAAAATTTTTCAGAGGGCTTGGCAGTGAAAGGGTTAATGTGCATGTATACTGAGTGGCCAGATTATTATGATCACCTGACGTTTGTAGGCAAATTAGCTATAATTTTGCGCTGAAGTTGCTAGAGGGCCAGACCATTATAAATAGGGAAGCAGGTTGTTTACCACGACAGTAGAAGTAATTTTATTCTGAAGATATGGGTAAACAACGCGATTTAACAGCCTTTGAACGTGGGATGATTGTTGGCGCTCGGAGCCATGGAGCGAGTATCAGCAAAACAGCAGAATTCGTTGAATGTTCAAGAGCAACTGTTGTTAAAGTGTTTAAAGACTGGACTGTCAGCCAAAAATCTGGGTCTGAACGTGCGAATTGTGGCCGTCAGCGACTAGTCAATGTTAGGGCAGAACGGAGAGTGACAAGACTGGTACAAGACAACAGAATGGCAACAGTGCAGTGTCAGATTCCTCGCATCACCTTTCAACATCTCGTGGAGTCACGAGGCGGCCCAACAAAGTCATCTCGTGGCCCAACGAAGTACTGATGGGGTGGTTATAATAATCTGGCCACTCAGTGTATATACAGTGTACTTGCACATTATGGCAAGTTACCTCTGGGATTGTCCTAATTCCCCATATGTTCTCCATAGCCACAAATGCCATTTCCTTGGAAGCTTCTCCCACTCTTATGCCACCTTCAGCGGTAGGCTGGTCAATGATTATGCAACTTCCAAAGGTGTGATGGAGTTGCATTATTCCAGCAGTAGGCTTCTCTCTTTGGGTGGCAGGAATATACAGTGCACTATGCATGTACAGGAGGCAGTGTAGTTATAAAGAAAAAAAAACAACCTTTTCTTCTTACCCACTTTAATATTACATTTCTAAAGCTATTAAACGTGCACAGTGCCTAATCATTGGATTTCTATTTATCCTCAGCAAACAAATGCAAAATCGAAAACACTGGAGATAAAAAGAACCACTTACCTAGCGTTATCTACCACCTTTCTTCCCCATCTATAAGCCCAGCTAGCCAGTGCAGCCCAAGATTTGGCCACTTCAGGTGCCTGCACAGATGATAAGTGGTAAAGCTGGCCCAGAATGAAGTCAGGCTCACCTACTCCAATGTTTACTAAAATAAAGAAAAAACAATACACAATCAGATATACAGTCAGTCAATTATCTCAAATAACTGGATCAAAAAAGCTAAACTCTTAAAACAGAGTTACCTGTAGATTCACTTTCAATACGGAGATGCTCCTCATCTGTAGCGTTTACAGGAGGCAGATCAATTAATGTGTGTACATTTTTTCCCAATGCAGAAAGGTTGGAGAGGTTTGATTGTTGGCGCACCCTGTATACTTGTTTCATCTGGCCTGATATTTCCTTCCAATCTGCTTGGACCCATTTTGCCAGTGTGAGGATAGATTTGGCCACAGAATACTCTGCTTTTGCAGACTTGCAGAAGGTGATAGCACAAGATGATAGCATTTCCATGGCATGTGCAGACTGACCTGTATGTGGAAACATGAAAATCAAAGATTACTTACATGTAATATACTGTCCAGAAAATTTGAAGACCAACTCCAGACAAAATGTTGCATTTGTTTTAGATAAAGTTGGGAAGGATTGGGGCCTCTGCCAGGTTTTATTGATGTCTATGTGCCTGGAGGATATTTGCTTCACTTCCTAACGTGACATGAAGTGATGTGTGCTCTCAAAACACACACATAAATAGGATTTTTGTACTTGCTGTAAAATCCTCTTAAGAGTCCATACAGGGACACAGGAAGTCAACCTTCAGGATATATTGCTACCTACTGGAGGATTAGACACTGGCAAACTGTAGGCCAAGTCAGAATAACCCATCCCACTACAGCATGCCTCAGTTTTGTTGCAAAACACTACCAAGAACTTGATAAGCAGAGGGGTGAGACCTGTGTCACTCAATATAAGGATTTATGGAGAGTACAAAATCTTCTTTCTCGTCCACTGAGGGAAACAGGAATTCAGATACAATAGGGACATCCATAAGCAGTCAACTCAAGGGTGGTGCAACACAGTAACAACTGCTAACAGCCCGAAAGTGAACTAGGATCTGCCTGCAGCTCAGAGGCTGCCTTATGAACGAACACCTGAATCTGAGCTGGGAAAAAAAAACAAGCTCCCCACCTATTTTCATTCTTGTCCATTGAGGGTCACGGTAGTTTAATCTTTGGGATGTCCAAAATCAGCCAGAGTAGTGGGCAACACAGCAAACACATGTTAACAGGCCCAAGAAAACAGAAACCTGGGGCCTGCCTCTCAAAGCGGCCTGAATGACCTTATGACCAAAGCTGGCATCAGATGAGGCTGCAACGTTCACCTGGTAAAACAGAGACCCTGGGAAACAGTTGCCTGATGCTGAAAAGCCCCCAAAGCGCTTATAGAAGAGTGTGATTTGAAAAAAAAATGCTGGAACCCAATCGTTGGGACCTCAAGCTCCTATCTGTCTGATCCATCTAGAGATGGTGGAACGAGAAGCCAACGTATTCAGAATAAAAAGAGTCTTCCTAAAACCCCCCCCCAAAAAAACAGTAGTTGAGAGATGGCACACATCCCAAACCACATCCAGACAATTGAGGGAAAATTCCTTTTGGTGAACTGCAACTAGACAGAAGGATGAAGAAAAATATCCCATCCCTCAACACCACATTGTAACACTGACCAGCTCAGGCAGACACTCTCCTCGCAAAGGCAAAGGACACAAAGCATTAAAAGATTAATTCTGCCTGTCAACTGTATGCGCCTGAAATGTACATGTGGACAAGACTAGGACATTAAGTCTTGCCCAGACAGGATTCGCTCTACCTCCCTTGCTGTGGAGAGTATCCCGATTCTTCACAATAGTTCATGTTTTCCACCACTGTGACATTGTCCAGCTGAATCCGGATAAGATGACTTTCCAGCAGAGTGGCCCAATGCTGCAGAGCCAAATCTGCCAAAGTTCCAGGATGTTCATTAGGGAGACAAGACCTTAACAGCCAAGTTCTTAGGAACAGGGTGCTGCCCAGAGATCCCCCCCAAGACCACCAAATTGGCATCTGTCATGACAATCTTCTAAACAGAGAGGAAGGACTTTTCCGATTTCAAATCCAGATGTCTGAGCAACCTAGCTAGAGACAACCGAGCCCCCAGTGCCAATCAATCCAGTCTGTCCAGGGACTTGATTAACTTCTCCCATGGTGACAGAATGTGGCATTGTAGAAATACTGAGTGAAATTGGGCAAAGCGAACTGCCTCCAAGGATGCTACCATCAGGCCCAAGACTCATGCAAAAAACAAAGAGTCCGGACTATTCTAGGACTGAAGAGCACAAGTCTGAGATCGGAGTCTGACATTTCTCCAGTGGAAGAAAAAACACTGGCCTGAGCCGTGTCTAAGACTAGACTCAGACACTCCAAACTATAAAATTAGTTACAGTAACAATTTCTGGAGTTTCAGGATTAATCTTAACCAAACTTTAATGTCTGGACAGTCAAAACCTTGTTGTCTCAAAGGGCGAGTGCCGACTGTTTCTTTAAAAAAGGTTTCTACAAGTAAACCACAATGGAGATGCCACAAGAATGCAACAGGGCCAATACTGTGGCCAGCACTTTGGTGCACATGAGAAAAGAAAATGCTGATGTGCTGAAAAAATGAGGACATGCAGGTATGCATCCTTGATGTCCACAGAAGCCAGAAAGTTGACACTTGTTTGATCGTTTGGCAGCCTTTGAGCCCCAGACTCTGGAAGTGTAATAAAAAGTCAAGCTTGAAGTGTCTCAACGTAGAGCAGGAGTAGAGAAATTAAAACAAAGATTTTTCTACTCACCATAAAATCCTTCTCAGAGTAGACTGAGGGACAATGCCTGATAATTAAACAATCTAGGGTTATACTGCTGCCTGCAGGAGAAATGGACAAATGGCACATAGAAAACTGAAGGCCAGCCCCCTTGAGGCTATTACTCCTCCCACCTGCTCAGTTATAGCAAACAGTCCAATGGGAGAATAGCATATACAGGAAAGGAGTGGAGAAAAGAATTGTACAACAAATGCAAAAAACTTATTTAGTCTTACTTTGTATTCATAGTGCTTCCTGTATCAGCTGTCAATGCTGTGCTGGATTTTCTCTAGCGGAGGCCAAGCTTCAAGAGAGCCCGTCACCTCCGAATGATATAATATAGGGGCTTGTTAGCCCCTGTGCGAGATCAATAAAGTTTTTTAAAGTGATTTAAAAAAAAAAAAGGCGGTAAAACATACAAATAAAAATAAATAGTAGCTGCTTTGTTAAGGCGGTACACTGCAGGGTACACAGTAGAACACTTTTGTATAAAAATCCTTCCCAAATGGGTACAAAGCTTGTTTTGGGCCAATATTCAATCCTTCTGTAGGCGGTAGTAGTACCTGAAGGGTAAGACTTTCTCTGTGCCTCAATGCATGAAAAAAAAATTTAACAAAATTAACAGTTAACAGAAAAGGTTAGAACTTTAGATGAACAATCTTTTAACAATGGGGCTTCCTGTCCTGGTGACAATTGTACACCCCAAACGCTTACAGCATTCACTATTTTTATTAAAGGTGGGCATGTCACAGAGCAAAACATTCTAAACTCTGGAACATGGAGCATGAAATACAGTCAAATGATAAATTGAAGCAGCTGATCAGTAAGAATGTCAAGTGCATGACATTAAAAGTAAACAATACAAATGTACACTGACCTGCAGCATACAGTAGCTTGGCTTTTTCAATATCAAGTTCTGGTCCCCACTTCTCATCCATCTGCCCATGGAGTGATAGCTGCTTGAAATGAGTGACTAAATCCTGAGCATTGCTCACTTGTCCTAAATGGATTTCACTGCACTGGGCAAGCAATCGAGCAGCGAGAGTGACATTTCCATGTTTTCTGGCGCATTTAGCAGCTGTTAATCCCAATTCCATCAGATGACTTTTTATGGGCACTGTTGGTTCTGAAAATCAGAAGATTTGATACAATTACATACATATTAAAGTAGTAATACACGCTCAAAAATTTTTTTTCAACAATTAATCCAGATCAAAGAAATCTACATTGCTTTACATTTTTGCCCAAACACAATCATGTTTCTGAACAGCTGCTTCCAAGTCCCTCAGCACAGCTTCCCTGAACTTCCTGCACACTACAAGATCAAAAAAGGACAGTGCAGACTGCAGCAACTGTTAATCTGCTAGCTTGCAGAAGGGAGGAGGGAGGGGAGTAGCTTGATTTGCAGTGTTTGTGGAGATACACACAGCTTACTAGCACACACAAGGGTGACTGCAAAGCACTCTGCTTGAGATAGGAGCCACCCTAAAACAGGACATCAGGACCAGTGCTCAGGGGACCAGCTGATTCTGCAGGAAACTAAAAGTGTTGACGGAGAACTATGAGGTGAGTGCTTTTCCCTCACCTCATAGTTCTAGCCGACTTGTGACAATGAGACTGTCACAGGTCGGCTTAGTAGATCGGGAGGTGAGCGAACACATACTGGCATTCGCTCACCTCTCGAACCTGTCACGGCTCTCTGCCGTGACAGGGGAGGGGCTGGATTCCCCCCGATCCACTAGCGCTGACTGGCGGAACGGACGGGGGAGGGTACAGCTGGCTCTGCCTCTATCTAGGCAGAGCCAGCTGTCAGTCACGCAGCTGGGCGGATCCAGACATAATTGTCGGGATCCGCTTCAGCTGCGGCGTCTCAGTATACCGCAAGCAGCAGCTCGCGGTATACTGAGCCTAGGGTGACGGGAGGACGACTAGTTTGTGTCCTCCCGTTACCCTAAGGAGAACTATGGGCGAAAAGCCTTAACCCCATAGTTCTCCTTTAAACATCAAGGAGCAGCATCCATTGTAAGTAATTTCATCAGCATTTGAAATAGCTTAAAATCTTTTTGACTTTAATGTCCATAATCAGAAAATATGTCAATTTCCCTGAAATGCACACAGATTTCCGTTCACAGCGCAAGCACTGAAAGACTACCTGGATTCTGATGAAATTGTGAGTATGAACACGACTGGGATGTGAACCCTCCATTTTGCACTTCAGCTGGCCAAGCCATTTTTGAAATTTTTCCTATTGGTTTGATTTTCAACTGCTGCGTTGCTAGCGTTTGTAAAAGACCCCCCAAACCATATATTTTCTAAAAGCGCAGGCCCGGTAGAATAGAAAGATAATGCTACTATATTTGTAGGCCCTGAGATAATTGCGCAAATGTTTCTCAAATTAATATTAAACCAATAAATACACAATTAAACCAATAAATACACAATTCAATTGATAAAGCACACTAAAATCAGTATGAGCGCACAAAAAAAAAATAAAAAATTAAAAGGTACACAAAACTATAAAAGGGCGACTTATGTTAAAAATTGATTTTGCGCTGTGTTGGTGTTGTGATAAAATGATACAGGCGTATATTTAATTATAACACAAGGTATCACAACGCATGGCAATGCGTCACAAAGCTTTGCCATGCGTTGCCACAGTTAAATTAATGTTTTTTTTTAAAGAAAAAAAAGAAAAAAAAATCATGCACTATGTTCTAGCAACGCACTGCAGTGCATGTGCATGGCGTACACCACAATATGGTGCACGTGTATGTTACGTGGTTGGGAGGGGTTGCACTTTTTTTTAAACACATTTTTAATTTCTTTTTTATACTGGGGGGGGGGGACGCAGTCCTCAATTTTTTTTTCTGCAGCCTCAGCACTCACTCAGTACAGAGGCTTCCCATTCATTCAGAAACTGTTGATCGTAAAATATTTTTTTGATCAGTGAATGAACATTAAGTGATGTAAATCACATCCTGTTCATTCATAATTGGGGACACATAGTGCTATGCGTCAGAGGATCACTCCAGTGTTTGTTCTGCACAGAGGATTGGTAAATATCACTGATATTTACCGATCCTCTGCTCAGCCACTCCCAGAGCCGCTGTCATCTTGAAACTGACGGGATGACAGCGGCTCCGATCTCCTCAACGCTCAGCCATCCTTAAACTTGCGGCTTCTCCCCACCAGCCGCTGCTCGCTCCACCGCTGGAGATTTTTTTTGGACCCCCCGCTGCCTCAGCCCCTACAAGCAGGGGAGAGCAGCGGGGATCCATGCAGGCACAGATCCATGCCTGGAGGCTCCAGATGCCGGAGTGCTAGCAGGGGTGGGGGCGCCCGGTATTTTTGTTAATAGTGGTCATCAGCAGCTTGTGAGCCGATATGACAGCTATTAATTTAAAGGGGACTGTCCAGGGAACAGTTCTGCTATAAATTGATGGTCCATGAGCTTATAGCAGAACTGTAAATGCCACCTCCATAATGTATACTGACCTGGCCAGCTGGGAACAGTTTTGTTCCTCCATATGTCTTACCGCAGTGGCAGGGAAAGGGTTAAAATAACACCCCAAAATCGGTGCAATCGTCGTTTTCATACATGGGTGTACCAGACTTGTGTTTACGTTAGTGTGCAAGCGTTCGCAGGGGACTTAATTTGTCTTTTTTTGGTTACAAGCCCCCTATGTGATAACACAGTGAAGGTGACAGGTTCTTCCACTTCACTGGGGAATGACAGCTGACTAATGAGGCAGCTGAAAATACATACAGCAGGCAATGGCTGGGAGCAATAGCCAATAGCAGGCTGGCTATTATACCCTCCCACCCACTCACTGCCTGCTGTCAATAAGCAGAGAAGGGACCAAAGGAGAAAGTGCTCCACTGCTGATTGACAGCAGGCTGTGGGCAGGTGCAATAGCCAGCCTGCTATTGGCTATAGCAATTCAAAATAGCTAATAGCAGGCTGGCCATTTCTCCCAGCCCCTGGATGTGTGATTTTATGCCGGCTTTCCACCTCCTGCAGAAGAGGGGGCACGGTGCAGCAGCGAGGTGGCACGGGGGAGCGACAGAGGAACAGGAAATGTAGAGGCACAGCGGCTGACAGGCGCCAATACAGGCAGGGAAAGAAGAGGACACAGGCCGCTGCATGCAGCGGCTTGCAGAGGAGGAGAGAACGGTGGTGCAGAGCGGTGGCGCCAGCAACTAATAGCAGAATCAACTAATCGATAATGAAATCGTTGGCAACGATTCTCATTATCGATCAGCGATTAGTTGTTGCAGCCCCAATATAAACACTTAAGTGTTTTGAAAGTGATCCAGAATGTATTGGCTCTACAATAAAGCAAGAGAATGTAACTACACTAGCCTAACAGAGGAAACCTCAATCACGTTAAGGCTTTTCCTTACATACATCATAAATCATTACACTGCCCATTCATCCAAAGTAGCGGTCCAGAGAGGCACACACTCCAGGCAAACTGATAAAACTATCCCCCCTACACATCGCTCTGGGTGCTGCAAAAGTGTGTATATAAAAAAAACTTACCTTGCAGCATGTCATTCCCTGCACATAACACCCAGCTTCTGGGCACTTGAGAGGAGACATGCGGCCCGAGCTGTACAGTGCTCCAGTTGCATCACCCACTCCTCTGTTTTAGCCACGATTGCGTTCGATTGCATGGGCGAAAATCACAGCGGGAAACGTCTGGCTCGACTGGGGTGCCATTAGAAAATAATGGCACCGCCAGTGCAATCGGCGGTCGTGGGCAACTCCGTGACCACACGGCAATCCGTGCAGTATCGTGCACGATTGCCGCACAGTCACGGTTCACGCAGGTGATATCCTGGCCTCAAGGATCTTTTCACAATAATTTATCCTACAGAAAGAATGCAGAAGAGCAGTCGTGTAGTCTAAGGGTCAGCAGAACTACCTACCTTTGAATTTTTCTACAAGTTGGTTTTGGAAAGCCGTGTATCTTAAAGCATTTATCCATGGTCTGACATCATGCTGTTTACATGAACGCAAAGCTTCACTGAACAGAGGGATCAGACAGTCCTGTGAGAGAAAATATAAGTCATGATGATCACAGACCAAGTTATGAATAAAATATAAAAACAGGATATGGTTATTGACATTACTAAAAAGTTCTCATGATGATGTGTTCACTGTAGTCTCCTATTAGCAGAGAATGAAACCTAAAACCTTTCAAGCTGAACACCAGGCAAACAGTTAAATACACAGATTAAATACATACACCGATCAGCCATAACATTATGACCATCCGCCTAATATGGAGGTCTCTCTTTTGCCACCAAAACAGCCCTGACCCGTTAAGGCATGGACTCCACCAAGCCATCCGCAGCAGATCCTTTAAGTCCTGTAAGTTGCAGGGTGAGGCCTGCATGTATTGGCCATGTATTTCCAGCACATACCACAGATGCTTGATTTGATTGAGAGTTTGAAGGCCAAGTCAAAACTCGTCATCGAGGACCACATAGGTCAGTGATGGCGAATGTTTTTGAACCCGAGTGCCCAAACTGCGACGCAAAATCAATTTATCTCAAAGTGCCAGCGCTGAAAATAAGTATAGTATTGTATTGCAGTTTGGGCGCTGGGCTTTAAAAAATATTCAAAATAGGGAAACACACATATTAAAACATTTATACACTCAATAAAAACACACATCACACACTCATTATAAAAAGAGACCACACATACATAGATATCACACACATTAAAACACACACGCACACGTAATGAAACACACATTAAAAACACACATAAAAAAAAACACATTAAAAAATATATTTTTAATTTCATTTTAATTTTTTACTCTTGGGGGTGGGGTCTTCAGGAAATATTAGAGGTCTAAAACAGCCCCCTGATATTTCCTTTTTAAAATAGAAAAAGAAATTGGAGGACACAAAGTCCAGCCACGTCAGGACATTGCGATCCCTGGTAGTTCGCGATCGACCTAATGGGCACCCCTGATTATATTGCTGGTTCGGCAATATATTAAATAGAATCTGGGCAGCTGCCGCGATTTGCAGCGGCCATCTTTAAAAACTTAACATGACTTTACACTGACCTGCACCTGGAGTGTGCGGGTCACTGTAACCGGGACCTAGGCTTGCGTGCCACCAGAGGGGCCTCTGCGTGTCCTCTGTGGCACGCGTGCCATAGGTTCGCCACCGCTGACATAGGTGATTGTTTTTTTAGCTTTGTGTTCTGCTGTACATTAGTACATAATGTAAATGTATTTTTTTTTTTATTCATTCAGTTGCAATTTGTTAATTTGACCTGCAAAAGGCTGATACCAGGTCAAATTAACAAATTTCAACTGAATTAATTAAAAAAGCAAAAAAAAACTAAAATACATTTACATGATGTATTAATTAACAAAAAGCTGCATCAATTTGTGTATCTGCCACAAGCACAGCTTTAAATTGTGCCACTAAAAGTTAATATTGATTGCTCAATAGAATATCCTAATCAGAAAAAAAATAAAAAAAAGGTTTATTTTGCACAAATATAATTTCAAGTTAGAGTTTTGCTTAAAATGCTTTGCTAGAAAACACTCATTTTCGCCTTAACGGTATATTACAATGACGACACATTCAGAATTATATTCTAGGGAAGAAAGAAAGATGCATCCGATCTGACTGGTGTCTCTACTCTAAAAGCAATAGGGTGCATTTTGTCTTGTATGTTTTGGTTAAAGTGTATTTCCACTTTTGCAGCCAAATTGTCAATTCTTAAATAAAATGTGTCCTGTGTGCTGAATTTCTCTCTAGAATGCAAGGGGGTAAGGAGGGTGAAGATTACAATAATTAATCCCGTCTGTACTCTGCTGGCAGAGTTCACTATTCGTTGTTAACTAGATTTAAACACTGTCTGCCCTAACAAAGGGCTAGGGATCTCCAATCACTGTAAATTAATGAGGGGGATCTGAAGCTGGTATAAACAGTTACATTTTCTTTGTTCAACCTGGTAGCTGAAAAAAATAAAAGATGACTTATCAACACTTGCATGATTGTCTGCAAGCTCAGTTTGGCCAAGAATGTTCCCACCTGCTCCTTTGATCAGCTGATTGAGAGATGCCGGTGGGTAGGACATTTCTTTTTTTTATTAGGTATGCTGTGTGAACACCTAAGGGCGTGTTCACACCAAATGCAGACCAGATCTGCATGAGTTTTTGGACCGCACTATAAGAGGTGCCTTGGCGCGGCTTTCACATTTTCTGCATAAGATGTGTATCCAAAACTTTGTTTTTAAGTTAGGGTGAGACAAGTTTTTTTACATGCTAGCTTCTGAGTGTGCACACGCAGTGCTGTGGGTTGTGCTGCATTTTTTGCCACGTTCTGGGCCGTTTTTAGTAAAAAAAAATATTTTTTTAGTTTAGAATGGGCTTTTAGTGCATTCCAGGGCGTTTGCATGCGTTCCAGAGCAGGTAGAATAAGGCTTGCTGCAGTTTTTTTTACATCCTCTGGAGCGGAATGCTGCGGTGTGAACTAGAGCCCAAAATACCATTGGAATACATTGGACGCAGTTTTGATCCGGTCTGCAACTGCTCTGCACCTGGAACGCGCTTGGTGTGAACAAGGCCTTAAGAGTCCAATAGTAGGGTTTTCTCAATTTGGACTGTGAAAGGGAAATACACTAACGTTTCCTGTGTACATTAAACAATGGCATCAAAGCATACCCACAGCAGGGCAAGAGGGAAAGCTAAGAAGGAAAACAGCATTATCACTTTATACTTTTTTGAAAGGAGCAGGTCTCCTTCAGCAACATAAGCCGTGGACAAAAAACATGGGGCTTCACGAAGAAAAGCAAGCATAAAAAATTCCACGCCAGTGGTTAAAATAAAACTCTGTATAGCAAAGAATAATGACATTTGTAGTTTTGGGGCAACATCTGCAAAAAGTAAATATCAGAAGTCTAAAAAGCATGGCATGTAAACAAAGTGTTTGAAGACTGTTGTGCTACATCAGTGGGCATGCGTTATGGTCTGTATAATGCACACAGCTGGTGTGCGATGCATTGTTTACAACACATCTCAATGTTTACTTTTATTGAAATATCACAAAATGGCACCTCATTCAACTCTATGTTCAACAGTAATTTGTGATGCATGTTTTAGTGCACTCTGCTGAGTGAAAATGCAGACATGCACACCAAAGCACATGTATGGTGTAAGCATGGCACCTAGGGAACAAATGTGTCCTTATGTCGAGCCTGCAATGATCAATGCTGATTAATGCAGCTTAATGCACCTGGTGTGAAAGAGCCTATACATTCAATCAAGTTCATAGCACTGTCCTAGAAGAAATTAAAATGGCACTTTAGCACTAAGGGAGAGTGTCAGGGAGAAGGCAGGTGAAATCCTTTGAAAGATACAAAAGAGAACTGTTATAACTTTCTTCATTAAATGAATGTAAAGTTTGAAGAAAGTCAAAAGAGATTTCAGGTTTCATAACGGTGCCCTTACCTCCCAGCAAGGAACACATAGTCAGTCTTCAAAAAAAAAAAAAAAGTCAAGGAAATTATAGCAAAAGGATTTACCTCAGATGTAAGCTTGCTGGACACTGTGCTCTCGAGAGATGATGAGCAGTATAGTTGTAATGTTCCCAGTACAGGCAAAGATTGTGATAGGGTAAGTGTCGACAGCCTCAGAGGTCCCATAGCTATCCGTGCCATTTGCTTCAAGTGTTTGCTGAGGCTTCTGCAAAGAATATATGTTGTTAAAGGAAGCAGAAGGCTGTAAACAACATGTCCATAAGTGAAGCCTCCACCCTAAAGTCTATAGCCATTTTGTAAAAAAAAAAAAGCTTTTACAAGAATGTAGCCAATCATTTCTAGCACAAAAAGGCTTGAAATGTCATGGAATGTTCCAGAGTTAAATTAATTTAAAAACATTTCAAATATTTCATATTTAGCATTTAATTTAACTATATTATAAAATGAACAATATCTGCAATGTTGGTTTGACTACTTCCCTCTTGGGATCTATGTAGCATGTCAAGCCAAAATGTGCAAAAAAGAAAAAACAAAACAAAAAAAAACAACCTCACGGGAAATGTCAAAATGACCTCATGTTCAAAAAAAAAAGTAAATGTAAAAAATCTGCTTACTCCGAGACAGCCTGCCACTTTTGCTCTTGGTCTTCGTCATTTAAAGTTAGGCTGAGGGACACAGAACTTCTTAGCAGCTGAACCTCTATACATTTTTGAAGTTCTCTAGGGTCTGGACTGAGCATATTAGGGAGCAACTTCTTCATGTCTAGAAAACAAAAAAACAGATTGTTTTCTTCACCACAGTATGACATCATGGTTTACACATCAGATTTCCACATATTAATCTCCTTCAACACACAAACAGTATTAAAGTGTTTCTCTACTAGCCTGATTGTGTTGAGAAAAATAGTTCTTGCAGGCAGAACACAAATGCCCTGCACACAAGGGCCTGTCTGCCATTAGGGAGAGCCAGACCACAATTAATGGAGGGAGAGGGAGAGAGATTGAAAAATCCACTAGTCTGCGACGAGAGGACGGTGGAACCCGACGAGCAGCTTCACGGCCGGCCGCTTTACATTTAAGCTTGATCGCTTGTATTAGCAGCTGTCACTGCCGTTGCCGGTCCCGAGATCCGCTGTGCCCGATGCGGCCGGGACCGGCACTGCTCTGTGACGGGAGATCAGTACGCGATCTCCCTTTGATCTTCTCTCAGTCCCTGAATACAGGAAGTGATGTAGATTACATCACTTCCTGCATTCAGCGTCACTCTCCAGCTGCAGAAGCTGATGAAGCCGATCTCTGCTTCATCAGCTTCTCTGGGGGTCCCTAGGTGACATTAGGGGTCTTCGAGACCCCTAATGTGGCCATAAAAGAGGACCCGTCATGTAAATTGGCTATCACATAGGGTTCTTAGCCCCCCATGTAATAGCAAGAAAGTTGGGTGTAAAAAAAAAAATAATAATTTTTTTTTAAAGTCTTGGCCCACTTGCACACGCAGATATGCGTCGGGTGCGCCTACGTGCGAAAACGACGATCGCACCTATTGTGCCGCACATGTTACATATTGCCGCAAATGTAGTGAGAGCAATCATTTTAGGGCAATTAATCACTGATAACACTAAACTGATGAGCAGTAAAAGCATTTTAAGCGTTGCCTATGGGTCCATCTGCGGTTTTTGCGATTTTGCGGGCGCACGCAATTTTAAGGCTTGACATGTTTGGTTTCTATTTACCCGATGTGATCCCGACTTTTATGTTTTACCAAAAATATGGGTAAGAATAAATGTTTTATAACAGAACGTAGGGAACTGTTTTTTTTTTACATTTACGGTTCTTTTTTCATTATAGTAAAAAAAAATAACCCTCCTTCCCCCCCGTGGTGATTATATACCTACAAAAGAAAGCGCCATCTGTCCCCAAAAAATTTTAACATAAATTGCAAGGCTATAGTCCAGTCATGCTGACTGGTGACATTTTTGACTGACTGGTGAGACACCCTAACATTTTTCAAGATATACAGGGCTTAGAAAATGCACTCGTCTGTGACTAGAGGACGGTGGAGCCCGACGAGTAGTTTCCCGGCCGGTCGTTGTAATTACACGGCCGGCCGCTTTACATTCAAGCGATCGAGCGTCTCAGTCGGGTGCGCCTACGTGTGAAAACAACGATTGTGCCGCAAATGAGTGAGAGCAATCATTTTAGAGCCATTAATCACTGATAACACTAAACTGATGAGCAGTAAAAGCGTTTTAATCGATGCCTTTGTGCATTTTTTGCGATTTTGCGGGCGCACGCAATTTTAAGGCTTGACATGTTTGGTGTCTATTTACCCGACGTGACCCCAACTTTTATGTTTTACTAAAAATATGGGTAAGAATACATTTTTTATAACAACGTAGGGAAACTTGTTTTTTTACATTTATGGTCCTTTTTTCATTATATAGTAAAAAAAAAAAAAGTTAAGCAGGAAAAAAAAAAAGGTTGAGAAACAATATACTTTCAAATTTATATTAAAAAAATATATAATATTTTCTAGCATTGAATATGTACCCTTATTGGTTAAGATAAAAAGCATGCACAAAAAATAGTTTAGATAATTCTAGAAACATTAGTTAAAAGGACACTAAATTCAGGTGATAAATCTTAAAAATGCATTCAAATACCTTAACCATTAACAAAAATGTATTCTATTTGTGCATCATTCAGCTGTAGACCCTACAATCATCTCTGAATTGGTGCCAACACTGTCCTTCCTTCTGAAGGGTTACTACGTTTGTTCCATGGTCCCTGTGTGCGTTATGTAGCTGCCGCTCCAAGCTCACTCCCATTAAGAACTAGAACTAAGAATTAGTAAACTAAATGTGAGATTGTAGTCCATCACGGGAAGCAAGCTTGGAGCAGTGGCTACTTTACAACACACACAGGGACCATGATGGGGGACAAAAGTAGCCAACCTCCATAAGGAAGAGTGTCAGCATGAGTTCCGAGAGGATTTGAGGATCAACAGCTGAGTGATGCACAAGATACTGTTTTGTTAATAGTTAAGGCACATGAATGCATCTTTAAGATTTAAGTCCGGAGTTTAGTGTCACTTTAAAAAGAGGGAGGTATAATAGTTTTAATGCAGTACTTGGCGTATTACCTATCTTTTCCTTTGAGCCACCATTTATCAGGTTTAAATTTTCTCCAGGAAGCAATTCCAGCTGCTCCATACATTCATGGAATTCACCAAATTCAAAACTGCTTAAAACCCTTTTAAAAAAAAATATATATATATATATATTCACATGGCACTTGCACATAAATTTACAAAGTTCAAGTTCTGGAAATGCAACAAATGTTTTAATGCATTTGCTTAAAGAGCATGTAGCAAAAAAAAACCCTAAAAGCAATATCAAAAACTGTATAGGCTAAATACTTGAAGCCAAAAGGTCTCAACCTGGAGGGGGTGACACAGACGTATGCAGTAATACATTGGAACATTCATATGAGAGGCATACTACAACATTGTGCAGCTCAGTACATTAGTTAATCCTCTGTAAGAATTGTATTTTTTCCCCACAAAATGAAAGATCAGGTTTACCCCCTTAACCCCCCTGGCGGTATTCCCGAGTGTGACTCGGGGTTAATTTTCAGTACCCAAGAGCGGTAACCCCGAGCCACACTCGGGATTGCGCAAAAGTGTCACTTACCTTGTCCCTGCGAGCCCGCGGTGTCCTCTGCTGTGTGCGCCCGGCCGATGCCGGCATTCGGCTTTCAGTTTCAATTTCGGGCGCCACAGCGGGGGGCGGAAAATTGAACCTCACAGGGGTATAAAGGCTCATCTGTTCTATCTGAAGCGAAGAAAAAAAATGTTCTGCCTAGATATACAATTTAAATGTTTGATTGTCATAAAGTACAGGACACATCCATGGCAGTTAAGAGATTGATGCGCATTAAACAGTGTACAACTAACTCACTTTATATAGTTGAAGTCAGTCTTCAGGTTAACAGTGCTGCCCACTGCACTTTTCTTCAGGTCATGAATGCTATTTTGCCACTCTTGGACTGCAGCCCAATCAGCAATTGAAATATAGCACTCACAAGCCTTGTTGCTCAAGTAGTTGATCACTTCAGGCACAGGGTCACTGGGCTTTGTCAGAACAGTCTTACGGACATCTCCTAGAAAACACAATTAGCAGACTTGTCTGGTTTGCACGTATGTAAATGCACTATAAAACCAGGTAGTCAGAGTTAAAACGATAAAATTTTATGGAAAATGGAATAGCTTTTGTAACATTTTACATAACACAATATTGAACATAAAAACTACACATTCATATACAAAAACACAATATACACAAGTGAACTGAGCAAATAGAAAGTCTAGGGGCAACATGTTGTAAGGCCTACAGTTAAAATTATAAATTGCAGACAGTTCTGTGAACATACCATTTGCATGTTTGGGGCTGGAAGAGGTGCTACTAGAATTAGCCAATTTTAAAACAATCTTGTCAAAGCCAGAGGTACTGCAATCCACCCCAGTCATGGCACACAAGTGTTCTTGGTATTCTATTGCAGCTTTCTCAAACCTGTCAAAACAAAATGGGGTATAAACAATCAAAATATAACATATTATATAAAAATGTATAAACATAATGGCTCTTGAAGAAACAATATAAAATCAAAAAGTGCACGTTTGTAACTAGCGCAGACCGTAATTTGATATATAAGCAAAAAAAAAAAAGCCACAACAGATTTTTAAGCCGCCTATGAAAAACTGCTTTCTGTACTAAAATCACATTTTTATTATATAAAATAAAAAGACATTAAATTCTTAAAGAAATATGCATCTTCATATTAACCGCATGGAAAGCCCTTCATCATGTGAATCTTAGCATATATAGTATAGCACCGCTACAAAAAAATGCTATATAATATGCACCAAGATGTTCATGAGGGAGTTACACGGACAAGATATTTTTCCCCCCCCACAATTAGTACCAAGGCTCCAGATTGCACTCTAGTTTGTAGTGATAATTAGCAACACTATTTAATATTTGGTTTCTTCTTAGAAGCAGTGCCAGTACAGAGAGACTATTATCTGAAAAATAGGTTTATTGCATTCACCATAAAATTATTTTCTTGTTCACTGAAGGACAAATGTATTTCAACTTTTGCAGCAATATTGGGATAACACCTACAAACATTTTTCTTTTACTTACAATTTCTTGTTTTCTACCTCCTGGTTCTCTTTGGCAAAAGTGATGTAATCATGCCCAAGCGTTGCATCCTGGGAAGGTTACATCAGCAGAGCATTGATGGAAAATCTCATCTGTAATCTCACAAGATCTCAGGGAGAGACATTTTCCCTCCCTGAGATAATGTGCATGATCACATGTGCCAGAGTTCCAGGAAGTAAAAGGGAGATGGATTCATCTGCCCTTTGTAAAAATGGCCACCATGAGATGATTAGGGAGGAAAAGAAAAAAGGTATGTAAAGAATAAAAAGCCTGCAATTATCTATAAGTATCAATTTTAAATTGCCATTACTAAAGGTTCTCTTTAAAAGGGACACCAAACTCAGGAATTAAATCTTGAAACTCATTTAAGTACCTTAACCATTAAAAAATAACATGTAGCTTATGTGCATCACTGAGTTGTAGATCTTCAGATTATCTCTGAGTTCATGCCGACACTGTCCTTCCTTTTGGAGGATAGCTAACTTTGTTCCCAATGGTCCCTATGTGTTGTAAAGTAGTCACCGGTCCAAGCTCACTCCCATGATGGACTAAAATCTCGCATTTAGTATTGAGATTGTAGTCCATCACAGGAGTTTGGAGCGGTGGGTACATTAGGACAAAACACAGGGACCATGAGGAACAAAAGTAGCCACCCTCCAGAAGGAAGGACAGTGTCAGCACAAATTCAGAGATGATTTGAATTTCTACAGCGGAGTGATGCACAAATAAGAAACATTTTTGGTAATAGTTAAGGTACTTGAATCATTGTTTAAGATTTAACTCCGGAGTTTAGTGTCATTTTAGGAAATTCAGTCTGTCCCTCTACTTTTACTTTCAAAACTGCTTAGGGTAGCTTGCAATCTGCGCAAAAGGCCTTCAAGAAACCTCAAGTAATATTTATATTAAAAATAAACAATTTTAGGTATGCTGCGTGAATGGGAATACACACATAGTAGGGTTTTCTTAATTTGACTGCAATAGTGGAAATACACTGATGTATCCACAGCATCAAGCCAGTGTGCCCTAACACATTTATACAGGCATCAGTGCCACTTGAGACAAGTTTTTGTTTGCTAGCAGCAAGCCACCATAACTGAATCACAAGGCCCCAGACATTTAAACCTAATCGCTCAATGACCCAAGGGCCCTAGCGAAGAAGGGGTCGCCTTTTAGGGAGTCTTTCTATTCTGAAACAGTTGGTAGATTAAGGTCACCACCAAAATAGGATGGAGAGACATCCCAGTCTCTTCAAACTGAGCTGGGAGTTTAGCAGACTGTCAGTAAAATCACAAAAGGTAAGAACACCTTTACCCGTCTGCGTTTAATGTGGATAACTGGCACATCTAAAAAGGTGGGAGGAGACCATCGACTTATGAGCTCACTATCAAAAGGGGAAGAGCTCCAATACACTGTCAGCAAGGACCCTTCAGGGAGTTTCCAATCCGCAAAAAGGAAAGCTAACACCGGGTGTAGTGGAAAGGTCTTAGCAGCTACAAAAACTTAAGAGGCCCAATACAGCAACCTGAGTGGCCTTATTCACAAAGTGATTTAGAGATGGTCATTTCTACACTACCACAAGTTTTAAAACTAATCAAATTGGGGTAAAAAGTAAATTTATTGTTAGTTTTAGGTCAGTTTATAAAGGAAGGGGGTCTAAACACCTGGTCTTGAAGTGGTTAATAAAACTATCACAGAATAAACAGACCTATAGCATAAGCATAAAAGTGCTCTTGTCCATAAGGGGTATATACGGTTGAAAAGCTAAAGTGGATAAGCAAAGCCATAATAAATACACACCTTCCATCAGCTTGCAGAGCTACAGAATTTATCCATGAAAGTGTTTTGCCAGCAACAGCAGATGACCACACTGCGAGTCCCTGTATAGCTTCTGGACACTGAAGTTCACATAGAGCTTCCACTACCATCATTACTGTCAACTCAAGTTCAAAAAAATAGCAATTAAACTCGGCCTGGAGTCCAGTACAATTATGACAACTCTTACCTGAGGTGCACCGCTGTTCTTCATTTCGGCAAGTAGGTCAAAGCCATGTCTAACTGTAACAGCTGGCTGCCCAGCCAACAAACCCACCCGCATAATGGCAATTCGAATTCGAGTGAGCCAATCTTGGCATGTTTGTCGATTTGTATAAAAGAAGGTCCTGATAACCTATAAGTGGCAGAAGTAAACATACCATCAAGATTTTGAAACCAATATATTAAATAATATAAAACCAAACCCCTTAATCTACAGTTTACAAGAGAAAAGTATATGGCTTCCAATATCAACCATTACAATCTGCAAGCATACGTTATCGGGAAGATCACTTTCTAACTCAACTTTGTGCTTTAATAATCAACCTCCTGTAAAAATATAGCAGCCCATCTCCTAACGAACCTTGGGAGGTGAGGTTAATGCATTGGCACATCCTTCATAGGCATTGTACATCAGTTTGTCGAGGTTCTCCAGGTACTGTAGAAGCAGCACTAAACGTAACTGATTGTTGGCATGTCCTTCATCATTTTCTGCAGTTGTCCACTGACTGACATCTTGGTCTGGATTCAGAGTGTGGGCTGCAAGGCTTCGAATAATACCTGAAGAAAAAAAAAAAAAAAAAAGACAAAGAAAGAACAATGCATTTGCTGCAGTCCCCATTT